GCGGTGCGCCTTTTTGTGCCACGTCACCACAGCGTGTGCTCCTCCTCTATATCCTCGATCTATGGCATCATTAAGACAGCAGAAGTCGATCGTGCTGGTGCCCGTCCCGCCTCTGAAGGTAATTATCATGTCTAGGATCAGGTTTGGCCAGGTCCGCCTGTTGGGGGAATAGCGGCTGTTCGAGGTCATTCGGCATCATGTTCCAGCCGCCCCCTATCATAGTGGGCCCAGGGCGTTGGGCCATCAATCCTCCAGTTGCAGCGAGTATGTCAGCATTCATTCCAACTGCCCCCCATAATCTTTCATGTGCACATTGTGTACCGTGATGAGGGGGCCAGCCAACCATGTCGACGATGATTTGCTGCAGCCTGTGCTCGCACACCATCTGCCCTCGTTCTGGGTGTCGCAGTCCTAGTTCATCTCGCACACAGGCTGCGGCGCCACTGGGTGGCACAGTGCCTTCAGTACGCCGAGCAGGTATGGCTGAACACTTGTTGTGCACCCATGTGTGGATCGCCCCAAGATTGTCCTCCGTGGAACCGATCTCCTGACAAAGGATGATGACAACTTTGGATTTCAGCAATCGCATCTTCACGGTCTCGCGGCCTGCGCTAGCGTTGAAGGTCTCAATGAAGAAGGTGCCCTGAGCTTGGGGCTGGATTGGGAAAGTGCGCCAGTGGATCTCCCTGAATACATTAAACGGGGGGGGGGGGGGGGGGGGGGGGGGGTCCAGAGCCCCCCCACCCCCCTCCCTCCTTCATGGGGGGGGGGGGGGGGGGGGGGGGTCTGGGCCCCCCCCCCCATTCGTGTAGGGAGTGCGGAGTTGGGAGTAGGGGGTGGTGAGTAGTGAGTAATGGGTTAGTGCGTAGTGAGTAGTCATTATTGGGTAGCGAGTAGTAGTGAGTAGTGAGTATGAGTAGTGGGTAGTGAGTGGCGAGTAGGGGGTAGGGAGTAGGGAGTGGGGATTAGTGGGTAGTGAACAGTGAGTAATAAGTGTGTACTGATAAGTGAGTAGTGAGTGGCGAGTAGTGAGTTGTGAGTAGTGAGTAGCGAGTAGCGAGTAGTGAGTACTGAGTAGGGAGTAGGGAGTAATGAGTACTGGGTAGTGAATAGTGAGTAATGAGTAGTGAGTACTGAGTAGTACGTAGTGCGTAGTGAGTAGTGAGCAGTGATAAATAGTGAACAGAAAGTAGTGGGTAGTGGCAGTGGGTAGTGAGTGGTGAGTAGCGAGTATTGAGTAGTGAGTAGTGAGTAGGGTGTAGTCAGTAGTGAGTAGTGGGTAGTGATTAGTGAGTAGCGAGTAGGGAGTAGCGAGTAGTGAGTAGTGGGTGCTGAGCAGGGAGTAGGGAGTAGGGAGTAGCCAGCAGTGAGTAGTAAGGCGTGGGTAGCGAAAAGTGGGTAGTGAGTAGCGATTGGTGAGTAGTGGGTAGTGAGCAGTGACCAGTGGCTAGTGACTAGTGAGTTGTGACCTAGTGACTAGAGACTATGTAGTGACTAGTGAGTAGGGAGTAAGTAGTAAGTAGTGAGTAGTGAATAGTGAGTAGCGGGGAGTAAGTGTTCAGTATTGAGTAGCGAGTATGGGAGTGGCGAGTAGCGAATACTGAGTATTGTGTACTCAGTATTGTGTAGGGAGGAGGGAGTAGCGAGTAGCGAGTAGTGGGTAGTGAGTAGTGATTTGTGGGCAATGAGTAGTTAGTAGTGAGTAGTGAGTAGTGGATAGTGGGTAGCGGGTAGTGGGTAGTGATTATTGAGTAGTGAATAGGGAGTAGTGAGTAGTGCTTAGGGAGTATTGGGTATGGAGTAGTGGGTAGTGAGGAGTGAGTAGTGAGTAGGGAGGAGAGAGTAGTGAGTAGGGAGTAGTGGGTAGCGAGTAGTGGGTGGTGGGTAGTGAGTAGTGGATAGTGAGTCGTGAGTAGCGAACAGCGAGTAGTGAGTAGGGGGTAGTGAGTAGGGGGCTGGGGTTAGTGGTTAGGGGGTAGGGGCCCCTCGTGACTCCCTTTGGGGCTGGGGTTCGTGGTTAGGGTTCGGATTCGGGGTTTGGGTTCGGGTGAGGACTAGGGGTAGGGGTGGCGGGGGTCGGGTTCCGGCGTCAGGGGGCGGCGTGGCGAAAGGGGGGGAAGGGGGGGGTCGGACCCCCCCCCCCTTTTGAAAGGGGGGGAGGGGGGGGGGGTCCCCGACGACGGGTCGTGGAAAGAGGGGAGGGGGGGGGGTTCCCCGACGACGGATCGGGGAAGGGGGGGGGGGCGACGACGGATCGGGGAAGGGGGGGAGGGGGGGGGTCCTACCCCCCCCTTGGAGAGATCCAGCGGCGCACCCTCCTGGATTGGCCTGCGAACGGCGCCTGCACGTAATCTCAGGCCTGACATCAAGGTAAATCAGCATCAGGAACATTTCGGTCGCTTGGCTGCCATTTCCCCGGGACGCTTCGCAAACTCCTCAGCTCCTGTCTTGGCGGCCCCGAATAGCTACTGGTGCTCTGACTCTTCCAGCTCGTCCAAGGCACGCTTGTGATCGCCGCCGCCGCCGCCGCCATCGCCAGCACCAGCAGCGCCAAGGGCATCGTCTTTAGCAGGAGGCATGGCAGCATCCATCGGGGCAGGCATTCTTCCTGCAATGTGCTCTCGCAGCCTGGGCCAGGCCGCGGAGCCGAGCAGCGCGCGCGCATCATCATCAGCGGAGTCATCGGGCTGGACATTGAGAGGGTCGACCTCCTCCTTCTTCTCCGTGGCAGCTGCCGACGCACCGAGCTGCTGCGCTTCCTGACTGACCTCAGCCCGCGGAACGGAGACCTCCACTTTCCCGGCTCCAGGGATGCACGCTTGGTCTCGAGAGACTCTTGCAACTCCTCAAGCTGCTTCTGCATGGAAAGAATGTCAGCTTCCAATTTGGTAGCATCAGCAGATGCTTTCTGCAGTTGTTATGGTCGTTCGGATTGAGGCTCGCAGTTCGTCATGGTCTGCACCGTGCGGGACCGCCCTGTAGCTCGCCTCGAAGCACGCGAGCTGAGTCGCGAGCTTGGACTTCTTGACCCCGTCATGGTCCGAATCCAGGATCTTTGTGTCCTTCCGGGTTCAGCACTTGGTTTCCAGGGCGGAGGCTTGGACGCGACCTCCTTCTCAGGACCCTGAGCACGCTTGCCGACCTCTGTCTGCAGGGGCGCCGTTGGAACAGGTTGGTGCTGCCCCTTGCCGTTGCCCTTGCCACGGCCACTTGCGCCACCAGTAGACTGCTGTTGCTCCCGCCGCTGGTGCTGCGCCAAGGCCCAATGCGGCCTTGCGGATGCGCAGAGGGGGCCTCTCGTCCACGCGCGCGCCAGACTCGGCAAACCCAGTTCGCGGTGGCGTTGCCGCAATCCCCGCATGCCCATGTATGCCTCCTGGGGCTTCGCAAAACATCTGGCAGGTCTGGCGGCAGCGGTACCATGGGCCACCGCTTTCGGTGGCACCCGAATCAGACTTGGTAATCGTGGAACGCTTGGCTCGCAAGCACGAGCCGCACTGAATATACGTGCTTGCAAGCACAGGGAACTCGCCTGTGCCAGTACGGGAGGAGGAGGGAGGAGGAGGAGGAGGAGGAGGAGGAGGAGGAGGAGGAGGAGGAAGAGGAGGAGGGAGGAGGAGGAGGAGGAGAGGATGAGGAGAGGAGGGAGGAGGAGGAGGAGGAGGAGGAGGAGGAGGAGGGGAGGAGGAGGAGGACGAGGGAGGAGGAGGAGGACGAGGAGGAGGAGGAGGAGGAGGAGGAGGAGGAGAGGAGGAGGAGGAGGAGGAGGAGGAGGAGGAGGAGGAGGAGAGGAGGAGGAGGAAGAGGAGGAGGAGGAGGAAGAAAAGGAGGAGGAGGAGGATCAGGATGGGGTGGAGGAGGAGGAGGAGGAGGAGGAGAAGAAGGAACGATAATAATAATATGAATAGTAGTATGGATAATCAGAGTAATACAACTATCATTAATAACGATAATACCGCGAATACGAATAACACTGATACACATAATAATGATATTACGAATACGATAACGAACAGTAAGAACATTGCGAATCCTAGTAATATTATTAATTTCGGTAGTGCTAAGAAACACAATACGAATACTACTACCCCTAGTACTAAGAGTAATAATAATACTAATAAGAAGGCGACTAGCAACAATACTATTAATCTCGACATTACTAGTACCAGTTCTATTACGAATGCTACTAATAAGTCGAATAAGCAGACATAATACGAACAAGCGTAATAGCCATAAGAAGAAGAGTCAGACGACGAACACTAACAATACGACTAATAATAATCATAACAATAATGCTAATATTAATAATACTAATGATATTGATACGAATCATAAGAATGATAATAGTATTGCGACTAATAATAAGAAAAATCTTAATCCTAATATATGTATCACAAAGAACACTATTAGCTAATCCTTATAATGCTAGTAGCATAGGTAATACCATGCTAATACTATTAATAAGAATAGTCAGAAGAGTGAAACGAAAACAATGATAATAATACTAATACTTATCATACAAATGATGGGAACAACAATAATAATGCGAATAAGAAAGTTACGAAACAAACACATAATAACAGGATGAGGAGGAGGAGGAGGCGGAGGAGGAGGAGGAGGAGGAGGAGGAGGAGGAGGAGGAGGAGGAGGAAGAGGACCAGCATTGCCGGGCGCTGGCACCAACGGCCCGAGGATCCGAGGTTCGAAACGCCAGGCCTTCGGACGTTTCTGGCCTTGGAGGTTCGGGTCTGTCCGCTAGAGAAGCTCCCCCAGGAGGAGGGGGGATGAGGAGGGAGGGCGAGGGGGGAGGGAGGGAGGGAGGGAATGAGCAAGGGAAAAGGGGGATGGGTGGATGGAGGGAGTTCTACGAGGAGGAGCAGGACGAGGTGTTGGACGAGGTGGGGGGCGAGGTGGAGTGTGAGGATGACGGCAGGGAATTCCACCCGGTTTGTGACCGCGTCGTTGCCCGTCTCTCCTCCCTCTCCGCCGCCCCGCCCAAGGGGTCCTGCGTGATGCGGGTGGACTCGACCGCCCTGACCGGCCCCGCGGTGTGGGACGAGGTGGACGAGGCCGAGGGGTACGTTCGACTACACGTAAGAGTGACCCTTTGCCAGAGTGACCCGTGAAACGGGCCCACTGGGCCCCCCCGATCGCTGAAGAATGCGATGCGACAGCAGCGGCCTGTGCGCTTGGATTTGGCCTCCCGCGGCCCACAAAAAGTCGCGCACCACTCTTGCCCAGGGTTACTCTTGCGCGTAGCCGAGAGGGGTACGTGTGGGGAGGAGAGGGGGGGGGGAGGGGGATGCAAAAGGAGAGGGCATGGGGTAGGAGAGGGGTGAGGCGAACAGGGGGGAGGCCTGGGCACGCCAGCTGGCCACCTCACCTGTCCTGGCCAGGCCCATTCTATGCCCGGGCTGCGTCTGGGCGAAGGGGGGTCTGGGGGCCCAGGTCCCCTCGCGTCGAGGAAACAGCGCGAGTGAAGTCTTCTGTCTCCGGGGGTCCTGTCTGGGCCCATGGCTGGCAGAAACAACTCGCTTTTCCGCGTGGTTTTGCCGCGATGTCGGCCGCACGAGTAGGGTCTTGTAGCAGCACCAGCAGCGGCAACGGCGGCTGTTCCGCGGGTCCCGCCGGATGTCCGTGTGCTCCCCTCTTCCGTCCTGCTGGCCCCTCTGCCCCTCCTCCTCTTCGGCATCATACCCCGCTGCTCCTACTCTCCCCCTTGTGCTCCTCTCCTGCTGCTCCATACTCCTGCTCTTTCTCTGCTGCGTTTCCTTCCTCAACCTTGGCTGCCTCCACCTCCACCTCTGCGTCGTGCCCTCCCTCCTGCTGCTGCGGCTGCTTCTGCTGCGGCGCATCTTCTTCCTCTTCCTCTTGTTCCTTCCTCTTCTCTTGGTCTTCGGGCTCCCCTTCCTCTTTCAATTTCTGGACGTCCTGATGTGGTGTCGGCGGTTCTCATCCGGGATCGCAGCACACGGCTACTATCCAGGTGCTTGCGGCAAGTCCCGCCGCCGTGCCAGCCTAGCATTCTGGGTTGCGACAGTTTGAGTGGTCACGGGAGGCCGCCACGTGTGACCCTTCGTGTCTCCAGGTTTGGAAGAGCCGTAATGAGGATGATGAGGATGATGAGGATGATTATGGCGATGAGTGATGATTGGTGAGTGATGGTGATGGTGATGGTGATGGTGATGTTGATAATGATGATGATGAGGAGGAGGAGGAGCGAACGAATGGACGAACGAATGAACGAACAAACGACGAACGACCGACCGAACGAACGAATGAACGAACGACCACTGATGCGGACAATCGTCTGGCGTGTCTGGACACATGCAACGAGAGACACAGAAGAAGTTAGGAGGAGGAGGAGGGGAGGAGGAGGAGGAGGAGGAGGAGGAGGAGGAGGAGAAGGAGGAGGACCAGTGTAAACCCAAGAGTCATCAACGATGTTGGAATAAACCCTCCCTCCAAGCTCCCTCTTCATAGGCCCATAAATGATTCGTTTCCACTGAGGGACCTGCCTCGTTGGAAGACAACCGTTTGAAGACCCTGAAACATGCTAAAACATCGTTCTCGGAACTCCAACGCCACGGATCATCCTGACTGTTGCGCCTTGACCATCCGGAATCGTGTGAGAATGCCATTCCTGGAACTTCAACACCCCGAATCAACGCAACTGATGCACCATCATAATCTTAAATCTCTCCAACACGTCATTTCTGGTACGTTAACCATGGGAACCTGTGCAGCTCGTACAAATTCTCAAAACGAATGTGCGCGGATTTAAGGCGAGCGCCACATGTTGAAAAGGAACCGCCCTCAGTCCGTGAACTCTTGTACTTTTTGATAACGAATGTGCGCGGCGCTAAGGCGAGAGCCGCATTTTAAAAGCCACGCACCCTCAATCCGTGAAGCTCTTGAATTTCTTGTGAAACAAATGTGCGCGGCGCTAAGGCGAGAACCACATTATTTTGAAAACTACCTGCCCTAAATCCGTGAAATCCTTGCATTTTTTGAAACAGATGTGCGCGGCGCTGAGGCGATATCCACATTTTGAAAACCACCGGCCCTCAACCCGTGAAATTCTTGTACAGTTTTGAAACCAATGTGCGCTAAGGCGAGATCCACATTTTGAAAACCACCAGCCCTCAATCCGTGAAACTCTTGCATTTGAAACGAATGTGCGGGGCGCTAACGCGCGAGCCACTTTTTGAAAACCACCCGCCCTCCATGTGTAGAGCTGTTGTCAGTTGTAAAGCTTAAGGATCATACATGGTGAGGAAGTCTCTGGCGAAACGCCTGGTCCGCCCTAAAAACAGGCCTCGGAGTGCGACAGGGAGAAGATACTTACAAGGAATCGGAAAGGAGGAGGAGGAGGAGTGGACGGAGGAGGAGGAGGAGGAGGAGGAGGAGGAGGAGTGGACGGAGGAGGAGGAGGAGGAGGAGGAGGAGGAGGAGGAGGAGGAAAAGGAAGTTCCTGGTGGCGATGTAGGCGAGTGTGTCGTCTGGACTTCCTGCTGCTGGTCCTGGATGCCTGCTCACGTGGGGTCGGTGTATTGGTGCTCGAGCGTCGCCCGGGTGGCGGTGTCTCGGGTTGATCGCACCCATGTGATGTTGTTCGGCCTGCCGCGGCCCCCAGCCCTCTTGAGGGCCTTTCGGCTCACCAGGCCGCACCTTTTTGGCCCTGGTGCGTGCCGTGGCGGACCTTTTTCCGCCTGCAGGCTCTCTCCCCCCGCCGTAGAGTGCCTGGCTAAACGAGGCGGACAGAGCGTGGAGCTCAAAAAAATATATCCTTTCGGATGGGTTGTCGTGGGCGGTCGGTGGAGGCCTGGTCCCTTGTGTTGGCCGTCGTGCTGTCTCTGTCCGCGCTGGCGTGGACTGAGTTCTGGTTGCCAGGGCAGCACTCGCCATGCCCACAGTGTGTGGTCGTGGTTTGGGACTCTTGAGGCCATTCGCCGTGTCTTCTGCTTGTGCAGCGTCACCCGGCTGTCGATGTGAGGAAGCCTCATGAGGTATTCTGCGCGTCGCGTGGCGCGATAAATGTAGTCGACGCAGGGTTCCAGTGGATCCGCGTTTGCGCTGTGCCTGTCAGGTGTCGCAGGTGCATCGCGCTCCGGCGGGTTGCTGTCCACGTCGTCGCTGATGCTGTTTGCGCAGTGGTAGTTGTCTGACGCTTCGTTGTTCACGTCGTCCAAGGCCGTAGTTCCCTGGCTGTTGTTGGGATCAGCTTGGTTCGGTGTGCATCGTCGCGGTGTACTGATGATCGTGCGAAGCATGCGTCCGTCGCAGGTGCTGGCTCCGTGAGCGTCCACGTCTCTGATCTGTAGAATGCTGTCGGGGTTACTGGGCGGTTGAACAGCCGGGGTCGGTGTGCCAGTTGGTAGTGCCATTCGGAGTCAGTCTGTCAGTAGGTAGGAGGAGAAGGAGGAGGAGGAGGAGCAGGAGGAGGGGAAGGTCGTCACAAGTGACACCTTTCGTCTTCACTTCTCGACGAGCCCTCATGGAGCTTATTTGGGCCGTCCTGGGACTTTCTTGGCCTCCTGCGGGGTGGTCTTGGGGGCCCCTCGGGGCCGTCTTGGGGCTGGGCCGTGTTGCGGCCCTGTTGTGCCGTCTTGGGGCTCTCTTGCGCCGCCTTGGGGCCTTCTTGGGCGTATGGGTGTGTTTGGGGGTCGTCGCAGGGCCGTTTTGGGCCATTGAAGGGTTTTGGGTTCCTCTGGAGGTCCTCTTGGGCCGTTTTGGATGCCTCGTGTGCTATCGTGGGGTCCTCTTGGGCCATCTTGGGACCAGCTTGGGGGCCTCTTGGTCCATCTCGGGGCGACGTCTTGAATTGATGGAAGCCCGACAAAGCGAGAATGTGACAATATTTTGAAAACTTTTCAGGGCATGTGTGATTTTGGCTTCTGTGACCTTGTTGGGGGTCCTCTTGTGGCCCTCTTGTGCCTTCCGGGAGGAATCTTGGGCCGTCTTGAGGTTACTTTGGCCCGCCTTGGGGCCATCTTGGGCCGTCTTCGAGGCCAGCCTGGGCCGTCTTGGAATTTAGTCTGGACGCGGATCCTTTTTTTGTTTCAGGTTATCGTGGCCTCGGGAGCGCGGGTATACAGTTTTTGACGAGGGTCGTCGCCGCGGGAGTAGGGGATGTACCCACCAGTCTGCGACTGGAGGGGGCTTCCCTTCTTGGATTTCATAGGCCAGACAGCACTTGGCATTCTACCACGCCCCAAACTTCAGGGGATATGGTGGCGGATATCATAGTGATGGTTGGGATGATGATGATGCTGCTGATGATGATGATTATGACGATGATGATGATGATGATGATGATGATGATGATGATGATGATGATGATGATGATGATTATGATGATGATGCTGATGATGATGATGCTGGTTGGTGATGATGGCGCTGCTGCAGCTGCTGCTGCTTCAGCTGCTGCTGTTGTTGATGATGATGATGACGATGCTGTTCATGAGGATGATGATGATGCTGATGTCGATGATACGGATGATGATGAGCATGATCATGATGATGATCATGCTGATGACCGTGATAATGAGGATTGTGTTGTGGACGATGGTGATGATCATGAGGTTGATGATGATGATGATGATGATGATGATGATGATGATGATGATGACTCTACAGGCTTACGCCACATCCGCCGACCCCTTCTGTGAGTGTTGCGAGGCCAGGAGTTTCTGGCCAGCGGCGTCTTGTGTGAGGGTGCGGTGTCGCGCGCGGGTGGTGGCAGATACGTAGGGGGTCCAAATGTTTGCGTGATGCCGGTGGTCTGGGGCGTGTTTTGCGAGCGCTTTGCGTGCTGTGCACCCGGGTGCGGGGTGTCCTTCTGGGAGGTCGGCCTTTCGACCCGCAACCAAGTGGAGGAGCACTGGAAGACGAAAGGAGCAAGAGTAGTGTGTGGAAGCTGTGATCAGCGAAGCATCACAGCGAAAGATGTGGCAGATGAATCGAAACGGGTGAAGAGGCTGTTGACGTTCGCAGCGCG